AAAAAATCTCCCTACTATACAAATATGTACAGCAATATTAAATAATATTTTCAAATGTTGTGAGAGGGAGTAACAAAACAAAATTACTTTTAAGGCGCAGCGAAGCACGCCGGGTATTCGCTAGTTGGCTATAAAAATGCATGCCCAAAATTTTTCTAAAAAATGTGATTAAAAAATAATAATGCTAATATAAAATTTTTAAAATTGGTTAAATTTTCAGGAATTTCGCATTTATTGACAAATTCTGCGTGGAAAATTACCTGATTTGTTTATGAATTATGAATCAGCCGTAAACTATTAGCGTTTTTTTTTTTGTCTTTTTTATACCCGAGCGCACTTGTACACTAGGGTATATTAATTTTGTTCACATAACGGTTGTTTGTAACAGCCAAAACGAATCGAGATAGATATAGACAAATGTATACATAAATGCTCAGAATGGAAAAAGAAATCGATTAAGCGGTGACTGTATGTCCGTCCGTCCGTGTACACGATAACTCGAGCAAAAATTGAGATATCTCAACGAAATTTGGTATATAGGTTTCTGTTAATCCAAGGTAGGTTGGTATTGAAAATGGGCGAAATCGGACAGTAACCACGCCCACTTCCCATATAACGGTAATTTTCAGAAATACGAAAACTGCGATATTTTAGTAAATACTTGAGATTATTGACTCAAAATTTACATTTATAATAAGTTTGAGACGAAAAATAAGAATATTATAAATTTTTGGAACGTAGCCACGCCCACTTATGGTTACATGTGTATATCTTGGTAACCGTTACACCAATTTATCCCAAACTTGGTACAGTTGTTGCCTTTGATACAGCATACTAAATGGCCGAAAAGTTTAAAAATCGGACAATAACCACGCCTACCTCCCATATAACGGTAATTTTCAGAAATACGAAAACTGCGATATTTCAGTAACTACTGAAGATAATTCACTCAAAATTAATATTTACAATAAATTTTATACGAAAAATAAGAATATTAAAATTTTTTGGAAAATGGGCGTAGCCACGCCCACTTATGGTTACATATGTATATCTTGGTAACCGCTGCACCAATTTCTTCCAAACTTGGCACTGTTGTTGGCCCTGGTACAGCATACCAAATGGCCGAAAATTTTTAAAATCGGACGATAACCACGCCCACATCCCATATAACGGTAATTTAGAGAAATACAAAATCTTCGATAAATCAGTAAATATTGAAGCTAATTTATTCAAAATTGATGCTTGCAACAATTCTTTACCAAGAAATACGTTTATGGTAAAATTTTGGAAAATGGGCGTGGCACCGCCCACTTATGATCACATATATGTATCTCGGTAACCGTTCTACCAATTTGTACCAAACTCGGTATTTTTATTGTGCTTGCCACATAAAAGCAAAATGTTGAAATGTCGGACTGAAATTACGGCCGCTTTTCATATAACGGTTAATTTCAGAAATGTTTGAAACTGCAATATTTCGAAATTTAACGACGCTAATTTACTCAAAATTGATACACCCCGGTTTACCATCTATCGGTACCTTTCGGAAAGGTGAAAAACATATATTTAATACTTGCGCCGGGTATTTAATGTTCGGCTCCACCCGAACTTAGACTTTCTTACTTGTTTTTTAAATAAGTTTTGCCCTTTTATATGGGACCTCTTGCTTTTCGTTGCGCTGAAACCTGAGAAAATGCTGCGTTCTTCATATGAGAATGAAACTGAAAGAATGCTACTCCATCAGAAGTTCATTTAAAGAACTTCATAACACTGATTTATTCATTTGCACTGTAATAGCGTTTTCTTTTCTCGAAAAAAGGGTGCACTTATTCTGCCTTGTGTTAGCGCTGTCACATTTTCATGTTCTTTTCTCAGCCCTTTCACAAGGCGTCGTGTTCTTTTCTCAGCAGGTTGCGCTCTGATCCGGCGAAGGTGCTGCCTTTTCTGCCATAAAATAAATGTGCATGGTTGATTTTTAATTTAATCTTGTAAAAATTCAATTATTTTCCCTATCAGAAATAAGTGTTTTGCTTTAAAATTGTTAAAGACTTACAGGCCAAGTGAATAATTCAGCTTTATTAAGTTCTATAAATAAATTGTGATGGATGTGTACATTTTCTGTTTCATTCTCATATAAAGAATGCAACATTTTCTCAGGCTTCAGGGCAACGCAAAGCAAGAGTTCCCATATAAAAGGGCAGAACTTTTTTTGAGAAAAGAAAACGCTATAAGTTTTTAATTAATTTCATAGGAAACACTTATTTCTGATACGGAAATAATTTTTTTTTTACAGGCGTAAATTAAGAATCAACCGTGCAACTCTCACCCTCATGTTTATTTGACGGCAGAAAAGGCAGCACTTTTACCGGATCAGAGGGCAACTTGCTGAGAAAAGAACGCGACGCCCTGTGAAAAGCCTGAGAAAAGATCATGAAAATTTGACAGTGCTAACTCAGGGCAGAATAATTGCAGCCTTTTTTCGAGAAAAGAAAACGCCATATGATAGTGTGAAAATGCTTTATAAAATACTTTTTCCGTTCAAAATTTTCAAATCGCTAAAATGACAACCCCGAAAATTATGATGTTTGAAAAAATCATGTTACCCTCTTCTTTGTATAGTGAATTTAACCTTATTTGAAATGTGGATTCAAAATTTGGTGTAAATTTGTGACTTTTGGTACAATTAATCAGATTTATACCAAAACTCGTAAATTTACACCAAGTTATACACCAGTGTGCTACTTGAGTAGGTGGGGTATTTATTTTATTAAATTAAGCAAACCAAAAATTAACCCGTTTGTCGATTGCTTCTAACAAAAAATTTTTTCGTCTGCTTTTGTTACAGGCTTTGATGACAATCATGCTTTCCTAATAAGAGTAACGGTGTAGGAGTGTAGAGTTTTCTAAAACAAGTAGCTTTGAAGAAGCTTGAATGAAAATGGACGCAATTGACAAAATACAGCATGTGAAAGGTTCAATATAAATGGAAATCACGATTATTATTGATTGGCGTTTTCTTTACAAAAATCTGCGACACAAAGTACAAGTCCATTAAAATAGAGCCATAAAACCGGCCACATGTTGGCTCCAGCAAAAAAGCAATGTGCTTGTATATGCTAATAAGCAAGTCACACTTGGCACTGTCCATCAGTGAGATAAATTTTAAAATACATAAACTGCGAAAGGAAAGTAACAATGCTATATAAATCCTGCATATACTGCTCATGCTAAGGACAAATAACCGAAAAGAACCGCCCGCGCGACGAATGAGATTTAGAGGACATACTACTTAATCAACCATGGATTCGTTGGCTCCAACAGGTGCATCAAATGACCAATATCCACAGAAAATACATCAAACACAGCGGAGATACCCAGTAACGTTGGCAGCAAACAACGAAAGTAGATGGAAAAATCTCGCGGATGTGACGCTTAGAAGTTGTCATGTCGAAGACAAACACTGCCAGCGGCGACAAAGACGAAAATATATTACGAGAATAGCAGTGAATAGACGAGGCACTCTCGATTTTTCTATAAAAAAGCCAACACCAAATCATAGAGTGTCGTTCTTCAAGCTGGACGTGAATTATAATCGACCAGACTCGATGTTAATAATGACAATTTTCTTTGCTGCTATAATGGCTATTGTGATATCGGAAAATACTGGTAAGTGTCTACACATACTTATACATAAACAAAAATATTTGAGTTAAGTACGCAGAAATGACCGCTACTTCTTCTATGCTGTCTTTCTCGAGTTTGTGGTTTTTTGAATTATGACACTCTCGAAGCAAAGGTATTACAGTATGTAGAACTGTGAGTAAGTTATGTAGTAGTGTTACATACATACACATGCCTCAGAGATGTGTATGGTATGCGCCGCAATTATTGCACACTAAAAAGGAAGGTGAATGATCGCCACCGCAAAGCGTGCAAATACCGCCACCGCAATTGAACGACCATTTAAACTAGGGTGGCCAGATATTATAGTGACATAATCAGTACAGTTGGGATCAAAAATCAGTACAAAGCCATAAAAATCAGCTAATTTTTAAGCGTATTTTTTATTATTAACAATATAACAACCAAATAACAGTCCATTAATTTAACACAAAATAACGAATAGACTTTTAAATACATATAGTAATATCAATATAAAAATTCATTACTTTAAAACAAATCAAAGGTATTACGTATGTATGTACAGCTGTGCTCACGAAAATAGTAGTAACATGTATTGACAGGTTTTGAAATTTTTTTCTTTCCGTACTTAATTTAATTTTTTTATAAAAATATAGTTAATTCTATAACAAAAGACGAGTGAGTTGAAGTCTCAAACTTTCTAGAAAATTTATAAAAATTGAGAAAATTAAAAAAAAAATGTGTAGCCCATTCTGTGTCAGTAGAAGACGAGCTCGAGTCAGAATCTGTTTGCATATTTAAGCTACAAATTTAAAACATATTTAGTTGGTGTGCTTATTAAATACAACATTCACATTCAAAGCTACATATGTATATCATATCCAAGAGTCGGTAGTTTGCACCTTTTCCAAATTTTTAGAACTTACATTGCACCGTAGCAGTAGTCGTCTTAAGTTTGACATACTGACAGTCGATTTCTCTGTGGATGTTTAATTATAATCAAAACATTATCTCTTGATGTCATCTTCTCAGTGTACTTAATATATCTATGATTAACTCACCACCACCTTTCATAAGATTTATTAATGGCGAAACCAGCTTTTCCTGTAAATCCTGTAAAACCTGCAAATCGTGAAGTTGGGTTGGGTTGAATCCAAGCAGTTTGTTATTTGGTTTCAATCTGCTCACATGTATTAGTTGTTAAAAACCATTGTTTTGAACATGTAAATCTCAAGCAAATGTCAATTACACCAATTTAAGAAAGTATTTATTAAATCTAGAAATCAGTACAAAATCAGTACAAACTCAAAAAATCAGTAGATTTTGCGTACGGATTTCGAGCTCTTAAAAATCAGTACAATAGAAAAAAATCAGCACATGTACTGATTGAATCAGCGCATCTGGCCTCCCTAATTTAAACACAGCACACTTCGGCAAAACAGTGTTCCGTGCACTAAGCCCGCAATCACCACATTTTAGGGACAAGCCGATGCTAGTAAATACGAGTACATACTCGATTCTTTTCGTCCGATACCAAGTAATTTTGGTAGTACTGAGTAGTTATCCAAAGAAAGTACTTGTATCGAAACCCGATTCAGTGACAATTTTATTCCCCGACCCTTATTTGTATACCCGAGTGCACAAGAGTATATTAATTTTGTTCACATAACGGTTGTTTGTAACAGCCAAAATGAATCGAGATAGATATAGGCAAATGTATACATAAATGCTCAGAATGAAAAGAGAAATCGATTGAGCCATGTCTGTCTGTCCGTCCGCCCGTGTACACGATAACTCGAGCAAAAATTGAGATATCTCAACGAAATTTGGTATGTAGGTTTCCGTTAATCCAAGGTAGGTTGGTATTGAAAATGGGCGAAATCGGACTGTAACCACGCCTGCTTTCCATATAACGGCAATTTCCAGAAATACGTAAACTGCGATATTTTAGTAACTACTGAAGATAATTCACTCAAAATTAATATTTGCAATAAGTTTCAGACGACAAATAAGAATATTATAAATTTTTGGGAAGTGGGCGTAGCCACGCCCACTTATGGTTACATGTGTATATCTTGGTAACCGATGCACCAATTTCTCCCAAACTTGGCACGATTGTTGGCCTTGGTACAGCATATTAAATGGCCGAAAATTAAAAAAATCGGAAGATAACCACGCCCACATCCCATATAACGGTAATTTATAGAAATACAAAATCTTCGATAAATCAGTAAATATTAAAGATAATTTATTCAAAATTTATGCTTGCGACAATTCTTTACCAAGAAATACGTTTATGGTAAAATTTTGGAAAATGGGCGTAGCACCGCCCACTTATGGTCACATATATGTATATCGGTAACCGTTCTACCATTTTGTACCAAACTCGGTATTTTTATTGTGCTTGCCACATAACAGCAAAACGTTGAAAATTATTGAATTCGGACTAAAATTACGGCCGCTTTTCATATAGCGGTAAATTTTAGAAATGCTTGAAACTGCAATATTTCGAAATTTAAGGACGCTAATTTACTCAAAATTGATACACCCTGGCTTACCATTTATCGGTACCTTTCGGAAAGGTGAAAAAACATATATTTAATACTTGCGCCGGGTATTTAATGTTCGGCTCCACCCGAACTTAGACTTTCTTACTTGTTTAATCTAATTATTTTTGTGAATAGCTAAAAATTTTTGGCAGCTTAGTTGCCAATGAAAAGAAAGTCCTACAAAGAAAGACCTTTTATCATATCACCAGCTTGAAGTGAAAAGTTGCTAAGTCCATTTTTTGTGAAAACTCATATTTGGATATAGGAAGCAAGGTAAATTAAAAATGCAACGTCTCCAAAAGGATTAACTATCGTGCTTGTTTTATTTTTTTGTTTTATTTATTCCCGTTTATATTCAATTAAAGTATAATTTACTAAGTCCAAAAGAAGCACAGAAAAATCGATAAGCTCACAAAAAATTCTAAATCAAATGGCAATGAAATCAAGTAACTAACAAGAAATAATTAAATAAATTATTTATGAATCATAAATCAGAAAAAAATAATAAAGACTAATTTTTTTAGCCTTAGTAAGGAATAACAATAAATTATTGCAATCACTTGGGACTTCAGTCAAATGAATAATTTAGTTAAAAATGACTGCATTCTTTAACACCTCTGATATGTAGATATTAATATCGATATAAGTAGTTATCGATACTTTTATCCCGATACTTAGTAGGTATCCATACTTTCTTTCGATGCTACTTCCAAGTATAGGTGTCGATACTTTCATGGTGGCGTTTTATCCCTACCGCATTTGATCGATTCCCGAAAGCATTAAACCGCACTTGACTGTTTTTTTTACCCGAGCGCTGTTGTTCACAAGGGTATTATAAGTTTTTTCACATAAATGTTGTTTGTAACAGACTAAAGGAATTGAAATAGATATGGACAAATGTATACGCATGTAAATGCTCAAAATGAAAAGAGAAATCGATTAAGTGCTGAATCGAGAAAAAATTTAGACATCTTAAGAAAACTTGGTATGTGTATTTCTTTTGAGCCAAAGACGGATGGTTTTGAAAATGGGCAAAATCGGACAATAACCACGCTTACCTCTCATCTAAGGGTATTTGGCGGAAATACGAAAAATTTTATATTTTACTAACTACTAAAGCTTATTCGCCGAAAATTCATATTTACAACCGTTCCAAAAATTTATTTAAAATTACCAAATTCAAACTTGGAAAGGAATCAATTTGATTTCTGGTTAATATTAACAATGCCGTGGTTGATATTTTCAACAATGATTTGGTAATATTAACCAGATTTTAGTTTACATTAAACAAATTTTTGGTCGCCGATTTTTTCGTTTGAATACAAACAATTTGTATTACCATTTTAACACTGTGGTTTCCCTGTAGGGTATGTGCAGGATGACGCTCTGCGCAATTACCATTACTATTTACGTAGAACAATTCTGGTTTCACAATCGCTTTGAATGCCCTGTAGGTTAGATTGGGTGGGACAGGCCCCATGTGTTGCTCAGTATCTTTTTACAGTTGGCTGCCAACAAAACAACCAAAACCAACGAAAAAAAAAAAAACACCTCCGATACGTCGAGAAATACCCCTATTGCATATTCTCCTTCGTTCAAGGTCGATTTACCCTTGGTGTTACCATGTGTCTTCTTTTTATTATTTGACGCTGTAACCGCCTAAGTGATTTTGGTCGAGTTGAACAAAGCACTCCAGTCGTTTCTCTTCTGTGCCAACTGACGCCGATTGGAAATGCCAAGTCCTTCTCCACCTGGTATTTCCATCGCACAAGTGACCAAATGTGCCAACCGTGAATATGAGTGAGAAAATAATTTATGCAACCTCACATACGCGGTTTTGCATTTTGTTGATCCTTTGTTTCACAAAGACCACGCATTTAATAAAATCGGTTCATATTTTGGTTTTTTGACTCGCTTTCTACTGAGATTTTTACACGAATATTTCCGCTGCAATTCGTCCGAGCTCTTTGAAAGAGTTATTTCCGCGATATTATAAGCAACTTTAGCATTAGAATTAAATTTCTCAACAATTAATATTTTTGTATTCAATGAGACAGTTTCGCCCAGCCATTGTTTGTTCACATTAGTGAAATGTCAGTGCAGTGTTTCCAGGAGCGAATTAAGTAAATAATAATAGCCAAGTCACATACATATGTAAGAACCACTTTCTTTGAAAATAGTACTGAAATCACATTTATTTATTAAAGGTAAAAGTTTATTAAAAAGTTGTTAAGTGATGTGCAAATGAGTTAATTTTTCAGTTATTTAAGTTAAGAGCGTGTTTCAGGTCCAGAAATGATTCTGGGCTTAAATGTTGGGAAAAATAATATAGATTAATCACTCAAATCACTCTTAATACATCTACGTTGCTTTGTTACCAGCTAGTCAATTCCTCAACTGTTTACTTTCAGTTTTAGCTGCGCAGCGCGAATCCGTGAAGCAGAAGAATTCCAATAACCTGAGCAATAATGCAAATGCTATTCCGACCGGAATCGGAGGCGTCATCAGTAGCGGCACTGGTGCTGTCAACGGAAATGCTGTCAGCGGTGGTAATGCCAATCCAAAAAGACACAGCAACGATGTTAACAATGGAAATCCGGTCAACAATGCATCGGCCCCCAGCAATGGAAATTTAGCGACGGCCGACGGCGCGGAGAACTACATCACGATGGCAACAATCACCACTACTTGCCCCACCGTCGCTACAGCAATGGTATCAAGCAGCAGCCCAGTACCCAGCAGCAGTGTGCAGAAAAACAGCGGCGCTTTTCCTTCGGGCACTTCTGTGGTAAGTCGCAATACGATTGAAGTGACCGAGGATGCTCGAAATGGACCGTATTTCGACAAAGCCGCATCAAAAAATGTGACAGCCTTGCTTGGAAAGACGGCATATTTAAACTGCCGGGTAAAAAATCTGGGCAACAAAACGGTGAGTTCCGATTAATTGTCTCTTTATATACAAGTACAAATCAAATTAACTCAATTTACCTGAATACATACATATAATAATAAAATGGCAATAATTCACATTTCGAAGAAACCATGGCATAAAATAAGTACCGACCTCATCACTGATCTTAAATTAATGGTCCGGAGTAACATAGCGTAGCATACCGAGTAAATAATTAAAAAAAATAAGCCCCCTACTCTGCATTCCTTTTTCCTTGCTTTATTACATATCTGGAGTGGCATAAATTGAAGGACTTCTGCTTTCGGAGCCCATAAAAGGGCTCCTATAACGTAGTAACGGTAGGACATATTTACTTAAAAAGGCCCTTTGATTGAGTTCTCCCAAAGCTGCTTCTTTAAGATACTAATTTAAGGTGGATGTAATGTGTTTTGTTCTAATATAAAATGCATATTGAAATTCAGTTGTAATGTTAAATAACGAATAGTACCAGGTTGACCCAGCTTTGCTCGGAGTGCATATACTTTTTAAAGTTTACAAGTTTTGGGTATCAAATACTGGTCATTTGGATAGCTTAAAAATGAAATATTTTGGAAAAAAATTTAGATTTTGATATCTGTAAAGTAAGTAAATTTCTTACTGTAAAATTTAGGTGGCAGCTCTATTTAGAAATACACTGGAATGAATATTACGTATCTTGAGCGTATATGTACTGTGTATACATACAAAAAAATGCTGATTGCAATAAACCAAATACAAATTTGTATTACATATTTAGCGGCGCGGCATCCCTGGTCGAAAACATTTTCGGACCAAAGTTCTCACCAATACTTTTCATTTGATATCCGTATTGCGATGTCTTAGATAAATTGTGTAAAATCGAAAATAAGTGAAAACCTTACACTAATATCCTAATGGATATAACTTAATATAAAGGGAAAGCACCTTCTCCTGATACCCATGAATACTAACATTGTACCTTTAGTTTCAAATCAAAACAAATAAATATATATGCGATTTAAAACAGGTGGCAACCCTATTAAAGATATTTTTGGATTAGGGATTTTTAAAATATCTTCCATTTAATACCTATATTATGATGTTTTAATTAATTTGCAACTATATTCGAATAGGTGGCAACTTTATACGAGTACCTTCGGAGATAATTCTTATTTAGATAACATTAAAATGCAAAACATTAACCGCGTACAAAATTTCATCAAAATCGCTACATTCGCTTAACTTGTAAAAAGGAAAAGCCCAAGAAGGTCTACCCAAATCATCTTCTGCATAAATACACTGTAGCGCTACTTTGTTTTTACCGATCGACTTTGACAATTTTCAAGTAAAAAAAAATATCTTGTAATCTATCGCTCTTAGATCTACAGACAGCAATAGCTAAATCCGTTCCTATAGGAAACAGCCAAACAGCCACTTGATCTGCCATGCAAACTTCAGTCTCAAATCGTATGCTCTCAATTATGAATGACAGATTCGGTAGTAGGCTCTGCAAATCACAAATTATATATTCGATATTGATAAGAAGTATACTATATTTAAATATGTACGTACATACATAGTTATGTATGTACCAATACGATTTTATTCTTTATGCATTAGCACAGTTGCCAGGAGCCAACGGGATGTGATAAGTTTATTTTAATCATTACTCTGACCAACAAAGTTTTTCGGCAGATATGTACATTGGGCACTCATTCATAACGAATTTTTTTTCTGAATAATCCTAATCCTTAGAAGAATTCAATTGGCTTTAGTCTTTGGAATAATTCAGACACAAAGCGTCAAAACTAATTTGTAGCAGATTTTGAACTCCTGCAGAATAATGAGTTTCTAATCCGCAGTTTTCTAATAAGACAAAAAGAAAGTCCAAATATTAGTATATTGGCATCAAAGGTAAAGGTACAATAGAGGAAACCTACATAACTTACTTAGCCTGGTGAAGTTAGACATTCAAGGTTGCAATTATTAAGCAGAAAATTGGTGCGAAAGCTGCGAACACCATTATAAATTAAATGTGAAGAGTCCCCATTAGGGATGTGAATTTTTTAGATTTTTGCGATTTTCGGGATGTCGTCGGTTCAATCCCGGGATCCCGGGATCAATGACTTAACATGAAAAAATTGCATCAATATGGTTTGAGAAGCTCCCCTACCATATAATAAATAATAAGTGAATGGGTTTGGAACGTACTTTTTTATTTAAAGTGAAAATTATTTCATAAGTAACAAAACGATAGACAGTAATTAAATGTATATGCATTTAATAATACTTTAGTGTGTACATATCTGATAAAGTAACTTAAGGTATGTCGAAAAACGCCCGATGCAAAAAAAAAAATTAAGTAAAAAAAATTATTTTCTGGTTGAAAGAAGTTCATAATTCTAGTGGAAGAAATAAAAGAAGCGCCTTAATTCGACCAGTTTTGTCTACTTCCCTTCAGTGCAATGTAAAACAAAAGTATGGGTACCAAATGTAATATTTTTTTTGGACCCTCAAGGACGAATAGAAATTAAAAATGCCCCTTTAATCTATTTTATTTTTTTGAAAAATTTCAAGGATATTCAAGGATAAAATTATAAAAGGGTATTTTCAATACCTACCCGTCCCTTACGGACCAAAAAATGTAATGTGCTTAAACTCTACGGAATCTTCTCTTACATTTGATACCCATACTGATTTCTTAATTATATTGCACTGAAATTATTTAATAATTTTTTGAATTACCCATATCTTTCAAATTTCAAAGTTCGTTTTAAAAATCCTGACGTCAGAGAGAAAAACTAAGAACGAAATTTTACTATATTTGGCCCTTGGTTTGGCGAATATATTAGGGGTATTCTCTGAGTCTTGCAAAGCCCTTG